CCCTGGAGGTGTTCAAAAAACAAGTAATGTGGCACTTGAGGTTATGCTCTAGTGGATAGGGAAATGCTGGGAGGAAAGTTGGACATGATCCTAGAGGTGCTTTCCAACCGTGGTGTTTGTCTGATTCTATGTTTGAAAGCAAAAGTCCCTGCACCTTGAGTAAGTGAGATTTAAATTAGCTGAGGCAGCAGAGGAGGGAGGGCAAGCAGAAGCAAGTCTTGCCACTTCATTGTACAGTGCCTGGTTCTGGGTCACCAAACAGGAAGGAAAACCTTGGCTTCATTATCAACATCAGGCCTGCACTTGGGTGTCACAGATCTGTTTCCTGGAGATGTTACAAAACACAGCCGAAGCCTTTTTAGAAGACAGCTTAACTCCCGCTACAGTGCAGATAGGACATTGTATGTTTTCATGAGTAATAAATATGCCCTGAGAAGTCCAAATTAATAAACCCTAAAATGTCAAGTATTTCTGTAAAGGACTAGCAGATTGTACATACCAGGTACCATGCACAGGTGGTACAGACAGACGTACTCTGGCATCCCCAAACACTGTTGATGGGGTGAAGGGAAGAAGTATCCTTGAGCATTCATTCATAAAGTTGGAGCCTCTTAGGCAGGATAAAAGATGCAAGGGTGAGTAAACAGAAAATGGCACAAAAAAAGACCTAGTCAAGAAGCTTCCATCAGAAGGGTGTGTGCGTGTGCCTGCAGAGGTGGGGAGGGAGAGAATTGTAATTAGGTCACAGGGACCAAAAGACAAAAAAAGAGGACAAGCTTATCTAGTATCTAGGCTGTCAGTACATAAATGCCAGGATGGAGAATGAACAATTAAGAGTTTTTACACAGCTAATTATGGCAACATATTTGTGGAATAAAACCACTAGATTAAAATATTGTTAATAAAAAGTCAAAATAAAATCAAAGTGGAAAGCAGTGGAGCCACAAGAGCTACAACAAAAGCTACCTGCTTGAGAATAAAAAAAAAAAAAAATAAATTTTGATAAGAATTAAGTATTTGTTGGAAAAGCAGCACAGTAGGAAAAAAACAGCCCACCAAGTTCTTGCACTATTTTATGTAAGCTATGGGAATGGCTTTAAGTCAGCCATGATTACCAGGATGAATCTAGTTTAGACAAAAAATGTGTATGGAAGACAATAATGGAACAGGCTTGTCATTCTGGAGAGAGACGAGTAAATAGCAAAATAAAGATGTTCCTGCTTTTGAATTTTCAACAAATTCAGAACTATTAGAAAGCTTCCTGTCCAGATAATCCTCAGAAATAGTATGAGGAAAAAGAAACAACCAAAACCAGAATATATTCATATTAGGAAGGTGACTAAATAGACACAAAGAGTAGATCAAAAGCTTCATTGCTTCAGTTGGCAGAAAGAGCAAACTGTGATCAGACACCCCTGACAGGATCAGGAACAAAAGCTTAAAGGGTATCTCTCTAAAGGACATGTGTTCTGATCCACTCATTAAAACAAAAACGTATTTGAAGACCAGCAGATAATCTGGAAAACAAAACAAATCAAACAAATAACTTAAAAATTTGTACATTTTAATTGTGCTAGAGAATGACAAAGAGACAGGAGAAGAAATCAGGGAAGAAAAAAAAGACTCTAGAATTTGAGGTTTGTCAGGCAACACAGGAAAAAAATATAACAAGTTAATTTACTGAGCTTTTCTAACCCTATGAGTATATGCATTGCAATGTATACCACAAGTGACAGGAAAACCAAAGTTTAATGTTGATGTGAAGAAACCATCTGAAGAACAAGTGATTTATTTGCAAAACTATTTTACTCACAGGAAGAAAAATTACATTTTTTCATATTGCAGTCAGAGTAAGCAGTAACACCAGCAGTTAGGAAAGAGAATGTGTAAACTACCCAACCAAAGATGACTCATGCATCAGACCTCATGAAAAATGTACAACTAATTTCTCCAGTATTAACAGAGGTTTTGATTACGTAAAGCAAATATAAATGCTCATAAATTCTTTAGTGTATTTTCAATTAACACTGAAAACTAAAATGGAGATTTCACAGGGCCTGCCCCTTGGCTATCATCTATTCTGGGATAACTTACCTAGGAAGCTCAGGGATACATTTTAATTTATTCCCATTTTACAAAGACAGCAAACCAAAAAGTTGTCCTTTTAGCTGCAATTTTAAGCAGCAATATTTATTTAGAATATATTTCTAAAATCAACTTTAAACATCAAACAATGCTTCTGTTAGAAATGTCATCCCACAACTCAGCAAGCAGCAAGATGTAAATTTAAAACATACAGCAGATTTTTCTTCTACATTAAAGACAAGAGATTACAAAGTTCAGTTTAGGGAAACCCATAGGACAAATCAGCCTGCTACAAATAAGTTCCTGAGAATTTGAAGATTGCAGTAAGGACTCTCATTTTAAAAAAGGTCAAGAGACAAGTACTTTGGAGAGTAGCTCCAAACCCCTAAGTGAGAGCCCTGCCAGTATGTGGCTCACTTGTAAAGTGTTCACAGGAGGCAACTATGAAAAGCAATCCTGCTGCAACAAGGACAAAGTTCACTGACCACAGCTGCCTGCACCTACACTGGAATTCCTGCATTGTCCATTCCTGTCCAAAGGTTCACAAAAACATTTGCAGTCCACCGATTCACATTTACAGGTTCCAACATAAGGTAAAGCTGTGTGTAACTAGATTTTGGAATGAATGTTTCATCATGTTAGGAAACAAAAGCTCAGCACCTTGCAGATCAAAGAATTTTTTAACTAAATATTTTGTTTAGCTGTTAAACATGGGAAGTAAAAAATAAAAAAAAAAAAATAAAAAAAAAAAAAACAAATCAGCCATTAAATACTTGAAAGTAACATAGAAGAAATACTCAGAAGAACACAGCTGATCTTGTACTATAATGTTTTACTTCATTTAGGTACAGCAAATTTCACCCGTCCTATGATTTGTAAAGTACACAAAATATGTACACCAAGGAAACCAAACTCCATCAAAAGATGATCATATATGTACATTATGCACCTATACATATACAAAATGTGCAAAGTTTTTAATGCAAGTTAAAGAAAGCATATGCAGGATAGAGTTGTTCAATGATAATGGAACACAGCATATTCTAGGTATTCTGATGATGTTTTGTATCTACAGCCAGTGCAGACTCACAAGGCACAGACTCAGTGCTGACACTGTAGTGTTTTAAGCTACATTCAGGCTTAATCTGTAGTTCTTAGGAAAAAAAATGGAGGTGCTACTTCTGTACTAAGTGCCACTTTCTCTCACAAGTTTAAGCACTAAATTGATGTAACCTATATGCAATAGTTATCAGTGGGGTTCCAGTTTATCACTGCCAAGTCAGTGACTGAAACATCTCTTACACTCTCCTCACACATATGCTGTTTCCGAAGGGGCCTCTCCTACATTCTCTAAAGACAACCTGTACATTGCCAGCCTTGACATGTGGAATCCTATAGGATATTACTAATGCTTTTTCCTGACTTTAGCCAGACTCTGGCAGAAAGTAAATCCAGATTAAAAAAAAGCCAGCAAAATACCTTCCAAGATACTTTAATTTAACAAACTTGTGCTAAATTGCACAAGAGCCTGCCATGTAAGGCAAAATTTTCATACAGCATAGCAGAAAAAGCCAAATACCAGCTCCACCAGTATTTAAACAAAGTACCGACCCACGTAATCTTACAGTGTTTTCTTTCTTACTTTGACAGTGGACCTACACTTCCAGTATGCTTCATCAGCAAATTTTGTTGCATTTTTCTAAATTAAATGAGCAATTAATATGTAGGCTTACTGACTGGTGCTGAAACCATCCAACAAGTATTTTCCCTTCCACCCCTCAAAAATGGGGTTTTTGAGCCTACTGGGAGTTTAAAATTTACTTATACCCAGGTCTAATACCTAAAATTGTAAAGTTTCCTAGTATTTAATAGACATTACTACATCACTTTGCTGTCTCATTCTAAAATTGTACTTTCATATTATTTTTCAATAGACATTTAATAGATATCTGAGGAAAACAACACATTACAAAAGCTTCAGAGTCTTTGCAAAGGTATCTTCTATTCCTTCTGCAAAGTAAGAAAGGAGTGATTTTATTGGCACTTATTTTAAGTGCCATCAACACACAAGAATACTTAAAGCAAAAAAAGTTCTAATGCTCCACATGTATCTTTGGTTTAACCTTCTTGACCAAAGTCTTCTGTAAACTTCTTTAACTTCTCCAGGTCCTGTTCATTAACTGTTGGTTTAGTGCTAGCTAGAGACCTAAGCATATCCACCTGTCAGGAAAAAAAGAAAACAAGTGTTTTCAGAGACCAGCACAGTGCCACTGCTAACAATCTTGTTGCCAAGAGAAACATGCATTAAAAAGCCCATTAAAACAAGATGACCACAGGAGCTCCTAAAACTTTAACTAAACCTGAGCACCTCTGCACAGAGGCAACTTTTCAACCATGTGAAGACAAACAACTGCCAGCGAGTTTTCTAATAATGAAGCCATAACCTCAGGTTTAGGCTTAAGCCACTTACCCATTCAAGTGAAATTAATCTCTTTTTACTGAAAAGAACTGAACTTCAAGTCCTAGCCAAAGGCAGTGGAAAAAGCAGATTCTCAACACCTCATATTATTATAAAATGATGGGTAATACCAGAAGCTAGCATCATGATTTTCTAGACTTGACATTTGTAGCATCAGACTAGAGACACCCTGCTTAGAAAGAATTAAAGCCTGATCTATTTAAGGACATGAACCAATATTGGACACTGAAACAACAACCGATGCAACTACAGCATGTCAGAGCCCAGGTACCATTAGGAGCTCACAAGGAATTGTTACGTTTAATTGCAGAAAAGACAGATTTAAAAAAAAAACAAAACAGCTTAGACGATGGGGGCAGAAGCTTTAGGGCAGGCCTGCACCTGTATACATCCTTCTACACTTCCTCAGTATGCAAATGTGCACAGAAAAGTCTGTTCTGAATTATAGTGATCGTTATATCTGCCATGCAGTGTCTACTGTTTCAGAGGTTTGTGATCCCCGTGAAGTTTACTTATTTCTTGCATTCATTACAGGACTGTTTGCCCACAAGAAATGACAGCACCACAGATTTGTTGTCAAGTCCTTCCCTCAAACGTTGTACTTATGTTCAGAATCTTCTTTTGTTGCTCTTGGGAAAAATACAAAATGAGCCATTTTTTTGCAGTGAACTAAAATTTCAATATGTCTTGAAGTGACACATTTCATTCCCTAGACCAAAGCAAGTACTTTAGAATGCAGAAAGAAAACAGCTAAAAGAGCTGCATCATTTGTGATAAAATTTATCCAACGCTACCACTACATTCATGATTTTTCTACATTTTATTGTTTATGCTTGTGTTTATTTTGTGGGTAGTATTTACCTACAGCACCCCACTTCCCAACGTGCACTGGCTATAATTTTCCTTTTCCCATAACAATATCAATGCCATAGAGTGATAGGAAGGAAGCAAATCATGGGGCAGGGATCTTGAAGCTTTTAAATGAATCAAAGACAATGGAAAGAACAGTGGAAGATGCAGATGCTGTCTCTGGATGAAAGGACAGCAGCTGCATGCCAGCAGACAAGAACAGTAAGAAAGAAATGCTTATCAGGGATGGAGAGCTGCCTTTTTCACAGGTGTGCCACACTGCAGCACTGTAAGTTGGGAATTCAGGTGTTACCTGGTATGACCAGCATTTCTGAAAACAACTCATCCTTGGTCATCATGGCCTTGCATAACCATTGGAAAAAGAGTTCACCTAAAAGTCTGTTTAGAATTCTGCAAAGCAAGAAAGAAACGCTACAAAAGAATACTTACCATGGAAACTTGAGGCTCCAGTAATTTATCACCTGGAACCTCCATCCATGTCATTTCTATGGCTTCAGGGTCACCTGGTGAGCAAGGGGTGAACAAATCTACCATGGTGTTTGGACTAGATACTGATGGTCCTTTTACCTAAAAATAGGAAAATCCTAAATTTATAGGAATAATAATTTTAAAGACAAAAACCAGCAGCTGAACAGCATCTTTAGAGCAAAAATATTGCTTAATTTTACACAGATGACCCACCCATTGCAAAGATTTGTCCTGTGAAAGGAAGCGTGTAAGTGTACTGGCATCATTCTCTCTGAAAACATGCAGTTTTAGCCAGATAACTAAATTTGTATCAAGTCAAATCCCACGATCTGCTTCTTTCTAAGACTGAGGATTTCTGTGAAGACTAACATGCCAGGAAACCTAGTTGGAGAAGATCACACTTTTAATCCCTGGTCTCTTTGGGAGTTCATTCATCACTGGTTAACAACTTTCTAAAAGCTTCTCAGTAATTGTCCTTGAGTGTCCCTCAAGTTAGGAAGATGGAGATGGCTCTTCATTCTTTGACATACTGCACTACGAAGTTCTGAGCACCTTTTCTGACACCACCTCAGCAGCATAGTAACTGAAAATAGGGTCAGCTAGTGGAAGAACAGAAACCATCCTTTTTATCCAGACACATGGACAACCAAAAAAAGCCACACCAGGTGTCTGTTCCCTTTCTGCAACGTGTTATCTGGGACTACAGTTTTCTCTTCCTTTATCACTACCTGAAGCATCACACACCCAAAGGAACTCAAAACAAAGATTGAAAGACAACACACTAACTGGCTGTTTTTTACAGCCGAGAACTCAATTTGCTATTTCCAAACTGCATTTAAAGCATGATGCTGCAAAGCACAGATATTCACAATGCACTCTGACAAACCTGTATTATCACACAGAGCAAGGAATGGTTTGCAATTAATTAGTAGTAATTGAGAAAAGCACTGATTAAGTAGGGCAAGGTGTCTGTTTATGATTCAAACAATAAAGCTAAGATTTTGCTTACAAAAATTGCAAACAATTAAAAGTACTAGCAATGCAAGTGGTATCAAACTGGCTTATGTCAGAGCCCTCAAAGTACTGCAGCCCTGGATTTTTTTTTCCCTTCCTTTTTTTAGGGACAAAAGGGAGTAAGAGTTAAAAATTCCTTTTGGTTTGCTCTGCAAAGTCTGACAGCTGAGGTTATTCTATGGCTCCATGGTAGTCTCAGACATTCCTTAGATTCTTCCAAATTTGAAAAAAGGCCTTTAGCCAGAAATTTCATTGTTTCTTAAAGTCAACAATGGATAAATACTTCAGGCATCACTGCTTAAGGGAAGGAAGGCTCCAAAAAATCCTTGGTATTTTAAGACAGCTGCTTATTTTTAAAAAATACAGTTTATATCGCAGTGTTATTGCCAAGATGCCCCCAGAAGAAACTTACAAATCACTGTTTTAGCGGTATTTTTGGTGTGTAGGTTCTATACAGGAGAAGTGCAATTTTATTTAACCTATACACGTGTATGTATTTGAAACTGTTTATCATCATTTATAACAGGATACTTTTCCCCCTCTGAAGAGCTTAATAGAGAACAATTAATTTGACTGAACAAGACTGGCATGTGCAAGTTCTTCAGAGGAAAACAAGCATTTCCAGATTTAATGGATCTAGATTGGTGCTAAAGAACTCTAGTTGGTTCTTTGTTAGATAGCTTTCGAGATCCACATGTTGAGAAGAAATGTTTAAGTCAGTACATAGTCTATATAGTGAACTGCAAGATAAGCCAAACAGTATCATTTCATTAGTCTCTCTGAAGTGCATATAAATAAGTGTAGTTTTCATACTACAGCAGCATTCATAGGATGCTACATGCTGCCCAAACACCAAAACACAGGCCTTGCTCAGTTGTCTAGCATCTACCGTCACAAGTAACATCAATTTAGTGTTTTTACCATAACTTCACAGGAACCCTAATTTTTCAGTTTGAAAAATATGTCAAGCAGAATATCCATAATTATAATCCATCTGTTCCCATGAGGATGAGGGATACATTCATTTAAAAATGCTAGAAAAACATGAAGAACCATGTAACTTGATCCATAAAGTATACCTCTGTTGCATTCCCATTTAAGTCCAACTTCAAACTGAATGCTTTTAATACTACCCAGAGACACAGAGTCATCAGAGCTTGGGTTACACAGCATGAATGCTCAGAAACTAGTGCCACCAGACTTATGGCAGGACTGAGGGAAGGATGGTGGAAGGAAAACAAAAAAAGAGAAGGAATACCCAAGTTCTCCCCAGTTGATAAAAAGGACATTCATAAGCATGCAGTATTACCCAAAAACAAATTCAGTTTACTTATAAGGAATTTTCAAATTAAGACAGTTCTGAGAGATGAAATAACTCGTAGGATTTTTAACTTTTACTTACTTTTTTAAAGTGAGTAGCTGATTGCACTTTTCTAACAGGCTGCATCAGTGCATCCCGTACAATGATGCTGATATCTGCACCAGAATAACCTTCAGTTCTCTTTCCCAGCTCCCGGTAATCTGAGTCTGTCAGGAGATTGGGAGTTGACCCAAGGTGAAGTTTGAACATGGCGGCCCTGGCATGGTCTTCCGGTAAGGGGATGTAAATACGCTTCTCAAACCTGGTTTGAAAGAAAAAAGGAAAGTGTTCCACAGGTGCTCGCTCATGCAGGTGCACACAGGAAAGAAGCTTATGCAAATAAGTATATAGTTGGTTCCTAACAGTATTAGAAGTAGCTTCAGTATTATAAACCTTCACAGAAGAAAAAATCTAAGGCAAATACTCAACAACCAGTTCTCATAACTAATACTGTAGCTAACATCCAGAATATAACAACTTCTGCCTTTTCATGGCAAAGTTTTTCCAGATTCTCTCCAGCAGAGTTAAGTGTTTTAAAAGAAAAAAATGAGGGGAAAAAAGTCTTTAGTGTTGAAGTATATTTGACCAATTTTCACACTCAAAGGAAGAGCTGCCTAATAATAAGCTGACACAACCACATTCTCCAGCCTCCAACTAAATTAAAGAAAACCACATAGCTGGAAGTCAATTTGAAGTCATGTTCTCAACACAGTTGTCAGAAGAAAACGCTGATAACTGCAGTTCTTCCTTTGAAGCAGCCACCTGTTCTCACAGAGGGGATTGCCTCCCACCAGCAAAATTAAGACTGATTCAGAATCAGAATGGTAGGAGTTGAAAGGGATCTCTGGAGATCATCTAGGTCTAGTTTCACTTCCACTTCTCTGGGCAGCCTGTTACACTGCTCCATCACCCTCACAGTAAAGAAGTTAGTCCTTATGTTTAGGTGAACTGTGTTCCAGTTTGTGCCTGTTGCCCCACATTCTATCACTGGGCACCACTGAAAAGTGTCTGGCCCCATCCTCTTAGCACCCTCACTTTAAGCATTGACAAGACCCCCTCTCAGTCTTCTCTTCTCCAGGCTAAACAGACCCAGGTCTCTCAGCTTTTCCCTGTACGAGAGATGTTCCAGTCCCCTAATCACCTTCATAGTCCTTTGTGGATTTCAAATTGTGTAGAACACAAGTACCTTGATACACATGACAAAGTGGGTGAGGTTCATGAAAAACTTATTTGATTACTACTTGTACTGGTGTACAAGGTCTTTAAGTTTTATGGACAAGAGTTAGAGCTACTCTTTCATGCTGCAGAGAATCAGAGAATGGTTTGAGTTGGGAGAGACCTTTAAAGGTCATCTAGTCCAACCATCTTGCCACAGGCAAGGACATCTTCCATTAGATCAGGCTGCTCAAAGCACCACCCAACCTGGCCTTGAAAACTTCTAATGATGGAACATTCACAACTTCCCTGGGCAGCCTGTTCCAGTGTCTCATCAACCTCACAGTAAAGAATTTCTTCCTCATGTCCAATCCAAACCTACTCTTTCAGTTTAAAACTGCTGCCCCTTGTCCTGTCCCAACAGGCCTTGGTTAAAAAAATTAAACAAACGTCTCTTTGTCTTTCTAATAAGCCCCCTTCATATATTGAAAGGCTGCAATAAGGTCTCCCCTGAGCGGTCTCCTCTCCAGGCTCACCAGCCCCAAATCTCTCATTGTTTCTTCACAGGAGAGGTGTTCCAGCCCTCTGATCATTTTCATGGAGCCCTTCTGGATTTTCTCTATCAGGCCCATCTCTGTCTTGTGCAGTGGACTCCAGAGATGGAATTTCAAGAATGACTTAAAATTTTAAGCAACGCCTCTAAATTTGTCTCACACAAAACTGTAGTCATACAGGTTGGAAGCAACCTCTGGAGATCACCTCATCCAAGCCTAAATCAAAGTATGGCAAGCTTGAATTAAATATATAAATAAAAGCCAGTGACATGGACAAAAAAGTAATGTTTCTTTAGCCAACAAAAATGACCATTATCCAAGCTGTGTCCTCATCACAACATAATCGTATGTGTCACATAGCTGTATTTGTCCTCTGCTGGTCTGCAGCTCAAAGATCCAGCTCATCAGGAAGCAGCAGTTAAAATATACACTGAAAGATCAGAGATTCATAGAATCACTATAGTTGGAAAGAACCTCTAGGATAATCAAGTCCAACCTTCCTCCTAACGTTTCCCTAACCACTAGACCATAGCCTCAAGTGCTACATCCGCTCATTTTTCTGAACACCTCCAGGGATGGTGACTCCACCACGTCCCTGGGCAGCCCATTCCAGTGCCTGACCACTCTCTCAGGGAAGAAATTCTACCCAATATCCAGTCAAAACCTCCCCTGTCGTAACTTGAGGCCATTTCATCTCGTCCTAAAGAGACCAACACCAGCCTCACTACAACCTTCTTTCAGGTCGCTATAGAGAGCAACAAGGTCACCTCTCAGTCTCCTCCAGGCTAAACAACCCCAGTCCCCTCAGACAGGCTCCATAAGGCATGTTTTCCAGCCCTCTCACCAGCCTCGCTGCCCTTCTCTGGACCCGCTCCAGCACCTCCATGTCCTCCTGATCCTGTGGTGCCCAAACTGGACACAGTGCTCAAGGTGTGGTCTCACCAGTGCTGAGCCCAGGGGCAGGATCACCTCCCTACGCCTGCTGGCCACACCGTTTCTGACACAGGCCAGGATGCCATTGGCCTTCTTGGCCCCCTGGGCACACTGCTGGCTCATGGTCAGCTGCTCTCCACCAACACCCCCAGGTCCTTTTCCACCAGGCAGTTTCCAGCCACTCCTCCCCAAGCCTGGAGCATTGCCTGGGGCTGTTGTGACCCAAGTGCAGGACCTGGCACTTGCCCTTGTTAAACCTCCTACAGCTGACCTCAGCCCATTGCTCCAGCCTGTCCAGACCCCTCTGCAGAGCCTTCCTGTCCTCCAGCAGATCAACACTCCCACTTAATTTCTAGATGGGTCACCTCTAGATGGGTCACCTGCTCATAGAAGGAGATCAGATAAATTGTACCTGACCAGTAGAAAACAGTGTTTCTGTGTAACATAAGACTATACTTCCATCAAAGAACTCAAGCTTTTCAGTTTATCAACAGCTGAAAAGGAAAGCTCTACCCACTTTTGCCCTTCTGAGGTACATATTTTGTAAACTGCCCCCCAAGCCCACCAGAAAACCAACCAACAAGGATACAGAATAGTCTTCTGCTTGCTCAAGCACAACCATCTAACAATGAGATAAGGTGAGAGCGAATCTACCCCTTTAAAGGGATAAGGGGCTATTAGTTGGGCTCAGTCCATTTCACAGAATCAAGTTGTATTACACTAGCAATGTCTGCAAACATGAGCTGGATCACTACCTCAAGTAGTCTCAGACTGAACCCTCATAACAGTTGTGAATTTCATACAATGGTAAAAAAAAAAAGCTGCATCATACCTTCTCCTGATAGCAGAATCCAAAACCCAGGGTATGTTTGTCGCTCCCAAGACCAAGATTCCTTCATTGTCAACACCAACCCCTGTATCAGGGCAGAAACCATTTCACTGTTTTAGATGATAAACAGAGGTGTTTTACCGTGCCGTGGAACTGCAGATCTTTGTAGCATTTTCATGCAAGCTATGCTTAAAATCAGGCCTTTGACCAATTTGGAAAACCAAGTAAACTCACCTTGCATCTGGACTAGGAATTCTGTTTTTATCCGTCTAGCAGCCTCACTTTCATTTTCACTTCTTGACCCGCAGAGGGAATCTATCTCATCAATGAAGATAATAGAAGGTTTGTTTTGTCTGGCAAGCTGGAACAAGTTTTTCACTAATCTTAAAAAAGGGAACAGCTTCAGTTATCTTCATGATTACACCAGTAAAACCACCTAATTTAAGATTATGATACAGTCACTTCCTTTAGAGGAAGGTAAGAAAAGAAAAGTATAAATGTACTCATACAACATTCTTACAAGCTCCAAGACTCAGCATTATACTGAGTGAGAGGGCACAGAGTAGGTGAAACATTTTCACGTACTTCAGGCGTGGTTTTGCAAGACAAAGCCCTTTTTCTGCTTACATTTCTACAAGACAGCCTGGACTACACAAAACCACCACTCTACACATATTCAGAAGAACATGCCTTTCTCTTCTTTAACATTTGTAACCTAATTAGTTTAACTCTAGAGACTTTGCAAGAAACATCATGTACATTTACTTTATACAACTTTAATAAATGCTTTTTATGTGACAAGAAAAGTTGGTTTGCAAAAGCCAAACCAAACAACTAACCCCAAAACCTTGCCATATCTTATTAACATATTCCACTAAGTGCAATATAAGTAAGAGCATACTGGCAAGTTGCTCACATTACCAGCACTAAATCTCAAGCAATAGTCTCAAATGAAGTCAAGCAGAAAAAAAATGCCAAGCTGGACTCCAGTTCTTTTTCTATTCCTTTTGCAATGGGAGGAAAGCAACTTAAGGTTTCTTCTGGAACAGATGAGTGGGGAGATGCCAAGAGGCAGAGTACCCCAACATTTCAGACTGATGTAGTGTGCAACCACAGCTGAGTTCAGAAGGAGAATGAGCTCCATGGTGCTCCTGAAACCTTTCTGAGCTAGTTTGACTACCTTGAGCACTGAAGAGAGGTCCAGCTGTAGAAGCACAAAAACCAGCACATGACAATATCTTTACATGGCACTGCAGCAAGCAGCATAGAAACACCTGAAGTTTGTTTTTAAAAAGATACGGCTCAAATTTAATTTCTCTACAGCAACTTTTCTAGCTCTGTATTAATTTCTTCTTGTGTTTTCCTGGACCTCTGGCAACTCCAACTTACTTTTCACTTTCACCTAACCACTTTGAGACAAGGTCAGAGGAAGATACTGAGAAGAAGGTCGAGTTGTTTGCTTCTGTTGCCACAGCTTTTGCTAAATAAGACTTTCCTGTTCCTGGTGGTCCAAACAGGAGAATCCCTCTCCAGGGTGTTCTCTTTCCTGCAAGAGAGAAACCATCAGACTTCAAAATACTGTAGAAAGATTGAATCTATTTCTCTGATGAAGCCCCTTTTATTCACTCAAGAGGTTTTCCACATCTACCTACGAAACCTGTCAAATGGATCATAATCTCTTTGTTAAGAGCTCAGCCTGAGTCTCTGATATATTAGCTTAACACTTTCCTCAGAACCCAGCACTGGTCCTGACTGGCCAATAGCAAATAAATGCTGTAATTCTGACCTGTAAACAGGTGTGGAAATTTAATGGGCAAGATCACTGCTTCTTTCAGTGCTTCTTTGGCACCTTCAAGGCCAGCAACATCACTCCATTTGACATTTGGTCGCTCCATAACAATGGCTCCTATAAGAAAAGATTGTATAAATTAGTGATGCACAATATCTTTTCACAACTTCAATAAATTCTATTTTGGAAAAAAAATATTGAGGAATCTATGCCCATGTCAATACTAAATAAAACCAAGGCATTTCTAAGTAGGTATGTAAGCTGAATAATATGAGTCAAATGGCTGTTATATCTACAGAAATGTCACACTGTTTGGGTAACCAGGATACTCAAGAGTTAGAAGTCCTGCAATGTTCAAAGCTGGTCCATAACTGATCAGCAAATGTGCATTTAGCAGTCACACAGGAGTACCTTCTCAAAGAGGTCTTCAGAAACCATCTCCTCACTAATCCACCATTGCACTTCCTGAAAAATCTGAAATCTTATTTTAAACAGGGGAAGGAATGTAGCTGCACTCGCCTAGGATTTATAAGATACCTCCAAGCAGATAAGTCACTTGCTGGGTATCTCCAGATGTGCAGCAAACAATCAGATCATCTGATAGTAAAGAGCTTTGAGAGCTTGGGTTGAAAGCATTAGAAAGATTACATGGAGCCCGCTTAGCTGCAGAAGTATCTTCTTAGTCTAGCCATGTTCTCTCAAACATAATCTCACTCAGCCAGAAAGTTCAGCTTGATTTGAGCCTACTGAGCTGCAGTTTAGCCTCCTCTTTAAGACTTCAGACTGGTTAGTCTGACATGCTAAAGATTATTTTGACTCGACTACTTTTAAATGGGACAACTTGGATTTGAGCTAGTAAAAGAATATTAGATCTTGCAATCCTAACTAACATAAATCTAAAAGGTATGAGAAATTTTCTTAGATGAACAAATGCCAACCAACCCAATGCTTACCAAAGTACCCAGACACACTGGAAGTTTCAGTTGCCCTAATTCTTTACATGGGGCTTTCTCTAATTTCATAACTGGCTTTCACCAGCTATTTTCTTGACACTTTTACCTCCAGCCTTTAAGTGAAGTAATTTAAAGCTTTTATTTAGAGGATGAAAAACTTGCTATTGCTCACTGACCAATGAATAAAAAGTAAGCACATGTTATTTAGTTTAAGTACGTTCTCTGAGGTTTCCGTTTTTTGTTTTTTTTTTTTTTTCTTTTGCTGCATTCCCTTTCTATCAGATTGAAATGAACAATTTCTGTTACCAATTGCTAACAATTTTAAATTTGAGTCCAAAAGCAACATCATATTGTTAAAGACCTTAAAAAATATTAGAGAAAGTTGACTGCGAACTGTCTCAGCTTGCAATCTATATACTGGAATTAATTCAACCATCCACTTTCAATGCATTACGTTATTTTGCTAGGTTGATTACATCTCAGTTTTTCTTAAAGTAAAAAACTCCATCACTAAAATAATCAGCAGAACAGGCAACAGTGCAGATAGGAACAGGAACTTTGAAATAAGTTGATACATCGGTTATTTGCACCAGATATACCATGGTAACTGAAATCACCGTACTGTGAAAGATTACCTGTGCCAGGACTGAAGTGCTGGGGTTAAACCTCCAGCCCTGAGTGAGGGCTGGCACATGGATGATGTCCACAACCAGGCAAGAAAGACCCTCCTGACAAGGCTGGCCAGACCCT